TGAGCGATGAGAGGGATAAGGGAGAAATTGTAAAAAGGCAGGAGGGAAGCATGAGACACAAACTTATGATCGTCTTGTGAGTGTGAAGCACACAGGGAGCATTGTACAAACCGTAAGACATACTAACACATAAACACGACGACAAACAGATATACACATACACAGAGGACGCAAAAGGTGTTTAACAACTTCTCTATGGCTAGGGTATTTTAAAACAACATATAAAAGGGATTTACTGTTAGATAATACACCTGTTCAGTTCATTAATGCCGAACAGCACCCCAGAAGATGAAAAAGACGCATTTGGTGCTAAGTTTCAATTTGAGATCACAAAACAGCGCCAAGTCATGTTGTCATCCAAATATATAATTTAGACTCCAAGCACAACACCCTTACAGATGGAGTTGAATAGTTATGGCTCTCATGCGCTGAACATGTGTGCCAGTGCAGGTGGTATGGACATGATCAAAGTGTTTGCATTAGTAGTGAGACGCATCTTGAGTCATCAAATATTTTCTCACAAAACGAAACAGGAAGAGCAGAGTAGAAAGTATCTTTTTTGCAGCTTAATTTTAATGTGCGGCCACACAAAGCCAGCCAGTGGTCCCGAATGCCAGAAAATACTGTTAAGCCTTGTGAAGATGCAATATGCCCAATTCATTCAAACATCTGTGGTGGCAGCTGCTGACTTGATATATTCAGTGACATCCACATTCACACATTCAGTCCTGGCACTGCTCTGTTAGACCGATCAGTAATGATGCAGACTGATACACAGCTTTTGCATTGATAAGAACAAACGTACTGCCCGATAACAAATATTTAAATGTAAACTAAACAGCTATGCCACATACTTACAGTAAATAATTCCGAAGAACACAATAGCTAATAGAAAACATTGATTAAGGGACAGTTGTGTCAGAATACTATAAAAACTGACTCAGTAAATGCTGTCTTTTTAAATGTTGGTGTGCCAAAACATACAAACTGAGCCGAGCTGATAGAGTTGCGAGATGAGAACAACAATATATACCACTGCTGTAGAGATCATAGGCATCATTATCACGCATAAATAGGCAGGATGAAAGGGAGCAGACGCCTGTTATTTTCCCATTCACAATGTCAGCAAAGACTCAGCTGTTATTATATTGAAACAAGAGTTAAAAAACGAAATATTTAGATGTTTAATTTAGTTCTCTCAAGTTTGCATGTATGTGAGAGTAGATGAGGGAAACACAATAGAAGCACAAAAGACGAAACAATGAAAGAAAGAAAATAAAGGGGGGGAAAAGAAAGAAACTGAGGGCAAACGATGGAGAAACTGAGACAGGGAAAAGAGATTTTCCAGATAAGACTGTGAAAGCCGCATGAAATGGATCCTGTGCAGATATGAAATGAGGTTAGTTAGGTCAGGCAATGGGAGGGGAAAATACCCAGTGATCTAATTGGCACACAAGAAAACCCTGAACACAAAAGAGTAGGGATGAAATGAACTTTGAATAAATAAAGGGGCTCATTTAACACAGGATAGAATTAGTAGAGGAACAAACCCCCAAAAAAGGCTTTAGTTATCATTTTTTAGGGGTTTGTTCCTCTACTAAATACAGTCTATCTATCCTCGACTGTTGCCTAGGTTACCACCTCTATTGGGCTACGAGTGCTGACGAAAACAGCTGAGGGAAAAGAAAAAGAGAACAGACAAACTCTGAAGGTTAAGTACAGGAGATGAAAACAATTATATTATTGTTTGTTTAACACAATAGTTTCATAATTGTACAGGCTTGCCAGAAGTCAGACCTGACTTGACGTTGATTCAGTGATGAAGAATAATACCAAAACAAGATTGAAAACAAATCAAGATGAAATAGACATGATCCAAATCTCTCTTCAAAGTTACCCTTAGCATTGGGAAAGGAGCACAATAAGCCTTCTAGATAACTGGGACACCACAACAATGTACATGGCCTGGCCCAATTCAACAAGTACCCCACAACACAAGCAGAGATTGGGAAGGCTTGACTTCAATTTTGGATTCAAGAAGGGTGAAAACCTGCAGGTTCTTTTATTTTAACCACCTGTACAAGGTGATTGGACCACTGACCACCATTCAACGACAGAACGGTTCAAGCCCTGCTCCGTTAGAAATACAGCAGTTTCTTACTTCCTTAAAGTATACTTCATTGATACTGACATTTCACCTACAGGCAAGGACACACACATCAATTCAAGGTTCAAGGCTTTTATTACGTACATAGCTACATATGACGATGAAAATCTTAGGTCACAGGCTCCTCCAACAGTGCAACACAATAAACAGAAAAACAAAAATAATTGTGCAAGTAAATACAAAAAGAAACAGTCAAATAGTGAAATAGTGCAATAAGAGTCTATATACAAGTGATTGGAACATATTGTCATACTGTCACATTACGTGCAAGATGACAGTGTGCATGAAATGTCAGTTTTTAAAGTAAAAAAGTAATGTGCCGCTTAATAATTCATCAAAAGCACTGCACCAGGGTTAGGTGTTATCCATATGATCTTGATAGGGCAATTTTTCTTGGAGCAAAAATCTAATTTCCTCTGAATAATCAAAATATATATATTTTTGACTGTCATCTACACAGAGACATGATATGCTGCTGTTAGATAACAGCATGTAAGCAGACTATTGCGTTTTAAGTGACAGTGTGGGGATGGATATCTGCTGTATCGTACACTTAACCAGCACAGGGGTAGATAGAGGAATGAAAACAAAGCTAAGTGTCAGCAGCTTCAGTGAGGATAGTGTAGTGAAAAGTAAAGCTGCAGCAGCTCAGGCAGCAGGATGGAGCAGAGCTCAGCAGCTTAACATACATTAACTTATTGCACAAGGTGTGATGGGTATGTGATGCAGAGAGTGAGATGCTGTATTCCACCAATCAAATGTATTAATCCTTCACCAGTCACACATAAAGACTGTAGCAGAGCCCACTTTCAGGAAGCTAAAGACCCATGTAGACTAGGTTATTTCTTCGATAGCTATTAGGGTTGTAATGATCCATTAATATGATATTCAAGATTCAAGGCTTTTATTGTCATTTGCACATAAGTGTAGTTATGATACATTTATTCAATGATCAACCATGCAATATCATTGGTGCAAAGTTAAAACGTTGATACATCATTGTCTTTCAGATATGCCTTAATTTTGAAATTCCCATTGCATGTGGCAATTTATAGTCAATTACAGAAGTTCTATTTTTATCCATTTTATATAAAAAGAATGGATTGTTTTTCATTTAAATGTCTGAAAGAGCCCATTAATGAAGTAAATAAACCAAATGTTAGTTGCCTTTTGTGAGCTAATTTGAATGTTAACGTTCGGTGTTGATATTGTCTTATAATTATAATTGAATAGAATCGAAATCGTATGTGGCAGAATTTTTTTTATGCTATTTTTGTCAATAGATTTGATATAACATCCAATAAATAGATATTAAATGTAATACATATACTTTTTCACAACTTTAAAAGAGTTTTTTTTATCACAACACATTCTGGCTCATTTCCTATTGAGCCAGAATGATTACAGTATGCAGTGCAGATGTGCCTCAAGTCATTTTACACCATTTGCTACTATTATTCTGAGCTATATTCTAACCATTAGTATTCGTGCTGCCTCTCTGTCTATGCAGCAGAAGCTCTACTACCGATGTTGTGCTCACACTCAGCTCTGTGAGGACAGTAGCTCCAGATGTAGTGGACAGATGCAAACACATAACTGGGACAAATAGAACATTCTGGCCTTGACCTTGTACTTTATGTCCCGATGCCCTGAAAACCTAGATGAACACAACCCATAAAAACCAAAATAGTCCTTCTCATGTCATAAAAATATCAAATCAGATGACTCCCACATGATCATCAACCCACACATCATCTGATTATCTGATGTCGCCTCACAATCACTTCTCTTGTTGAAAACTTCTTTCCAAGGACTTAACTTTCCTCAGGCCAATATTCACAGCCCACAGCTCCGTCTCATACACCTTTATGACCCATGTGCAACAGTTAAAGAGAAGAACCCATTGTTGAAACGAAGATATCAAATGATCAACTCATGAGCCAAATACCCATCTGCAACTCCACTGGATCAAAGCCAAATGTTTGGAAGGAACATCCATCAGGCCTAAAATGTGGGCCACCATATTATAGTGACTAACTAAAAAGCATATTGGGCAAAATATGACCAACAACAGCAGAAGTCAGTGAAGCAACTTCAATGCAAAATAACGTTGCCTCTGTAGATATGCCACACAGTACTCTACCAACTCATATGCTTATGAGACGGACACAGAACACACAGAGCATTCACATGGTCTGCCAAAGAGACTGTGCTATGAAGGTTGCCAGTGTTAACCCCATTTCTATGATCTTTTTTTGCATCTTCATAAAAAAAAGCCTTCTCTACTCTCTGTAGTGGCGGACAGACACTTCAGACAGTTCTCAAACCTCTAAATGAATTCTCCCCTTGTAGGATGAAAAATGAAATCTCTATTATAACAGTTTGAAAACAAGTATGTGATAATATTATTAAATGGAACAAGGTGAGGAAACGTAACAAAGAAATAAAACCAGTTTGTATCTAGTGCCAGGTGAATATGAAATACCAACACACTTGAAATGTGTGTTTTTTATATATGAAATTGTCCATAATATTAAAACAGCTTACTTCATTGTAACCCAGCCTGTAATAATAACCACTTATTTATTCCTGGATTTCCCCACAGGGATTAATAAAGACCCATCTTATCTTATTTTATCATAAAATATATGGAAAATGTCATTTAGGCTTTTTTGCACATTAATATCAGAGAAATTCAGACTAGGAATCACTACTTTGAATCTGGCACACACTGCAATCAACATGTATGTCATATATTTGTAATATTAAGGTTAAACTACACATAATAACTTCAAGAGAAACCTAAATTATACAAAGCTTTGTTATCACCAACCTTCTCCAGCTTTTCAAAATGTTCCCGCAGGAACTTCATAGGACGCTCAGGCTTTGCAATGCAGAGGTTCACAATGCACTCTTTGAGGATCTGCTGGATGTTGTGCTTCTGCACAAAAATTTCACAGCCCTTCAAACTCTCGTCTTCTTCCAGAGTGGAGGAGGAGGTGGCCATCTTATCTTTTATCTCTGTGGATGAGGGAGAAAACAGGGTGGACCATGAGAGGAGGGGGAGGGAAGGCAGAATAGAGAAGGGGTAGTAAAGGGGCAAAATGAAGGGCAAAATGAAGGGCAAAATGCAGCGCATGCAGTGTGATAAGAGGAACATAGGATAGAGAATGGAGGAGCAATGGAACATGGGAAGGATGTAAATGGAAATTGCACACATGGAAGTGTTTGATGAAGGTAGTTTTTGCAGGTGGATGTTACCTTTGGTAGTTAAGAAAGATCTTTCATTTTGTAAATACCAATAAAAAGTTACTACTTAAGCTGTAGGGTTGGACAATGACGATATACACCTTGAGACAATATACATTGGTGAACTGTCGACTAAGAGGTAGCTAACTTTGTGATATATGTAGGTGTATTCGATTATTGTAGGAAATGCTGCAAATAAATGAGCATGGATGCTTTATGATTATTGTGTGATAATATTATTTAGTTAATAGCAATATTGTGATTTTTAGATATAAAAAACATGATTAAAGTACTCAGGAATAGACAATGTCATCCTTGTTGACAAACCCTAATTTGGGTATACACAGGTCATGCACAATTAATGTATGACTACTGCATGATCATTAATGCCCTTTGAATGATTCTTTATCGATGAAGTTGAATGACCATGAACGTTTTGGAAACTTGTGCTTTAAAAAAGGTACGATCTTATTTATGCAAGTAGCAATTTTCCAGGTGGATTCAGAGCTAAATATAAAATAGTGACAACTCACAACAGCAATGATTATGTGAGACAGTAATGTCAAATAACGTAGCAGCAAGCCAGGAAGCTGAGCAGGTGTAGCTACCTTGTATCACTTCCTCAAATGGAAATCACATCTGCGATGTTTTTCTATGCATAATAAATCTAAAGCAGGTATGAGTTCAGGGCATGGCAGTTATCACATGTTGTTCAAAGCAAATGGCAAAACAGTGGCCACAAATAACACATTTGCCATGCACATGTTTGAGCTTGTGATGATAAGCACCTGTTCAGATGCATTCAATAGACGGCTAACCCAGCTAGCTTTGCTAACCTTACAATGACAACCAAACCACAACGAAGGGAAAATACTGCGGCGTAAACGCCATGAGTGGCATGTTCTTAACCGCTATTATGTGTTTATAAAAACACTGCCTATTCGGAGCCCTCGCTGGTGTCCCTACCGTTATTTCTGTAGGGTGCTCAGTGAGAAAACACCTAGCTGCTGGAGATTGGTGAGGTGCCGCTGGTAAGCAGGGATGCTGCTGCGCTCTGCCTCTCTGCTCGCTCTGCGTCAGTCCCGATGACGTCAATCTGTCAGCCTCTCGACCGCAGCGGCGCTCTCACGAGGCCAGCGGCAGCGAGCACGCGCCAACCCTTTTGCAGGTAAAAGATCTTTAAAGGAAACATCCACCCTAAAACAATTACTAGGGTGCAATTCTGTAACATGATTATGAAACAAACTGATCCATAAATGTAAAAACAGACTACGCAATTTAGAGACTGACAATTACCAGCTACACACACCCCATCCTCTCTTCTTAGTGACATTATGTAGGCATACAGTATGCCAATAATTGTATGTTTATGATTGTTATAATGATTTATTCCGCTGTAGCTTAAGCTCTATGTCTATGTATTTCTTCGCTACTGTTCTTGCATTATGTACAAATACTTCCTAATACCAATGCCCTTATTTGGACTACACACGATTTAGAAACTCAGCCTTCATTCTCTTAACCACAAAAAAGTTTTGTGACGCCAACTTTGTTCGGGCATTTCATTAAATGTAATATAGTAGGCTACTCCTATACAACATGTACAAACGTAACACATTATAAAGAAAATATAAACTGTACACTAGTTTACGAGTTCGTGTGTTTTATTGTTTTAGAGAAAATCTTAGTTGTTTACATTTATATCGATGGATAGGGAATTTGGCAAACATAATTAACCCAGTTAACATGAGTGTAGTTCCTGTGTATTATTGACCAGCAGACCAGCAAGGCAACACAAAACACATCAATAATTCAAAGTTATTAAACCACAGGTTTTCCTGAAATTGGGCTACAATGCCAAAATCGAAGCACAGATTGTGGACCTCTAAAATATAAACTTAAATTTACATCATTGTCTCTCCTGGAAACATTTTAAAACATAGATGTATCCGACAGTTAGATTCAAAGGACTAGAGAGCAGTAGCAACATAAAAGGTTTTGAGTGCAAATAAAGTTTGAGCTTTTGAATCGGAAGCTGTCGTAAAGCAGCCGTTTGTTTGTCGTGCAGCTGCAGGTTGCCATAACGACAACAGTCAAGATGGCAGCGATGGCGGCTGGAGATGAGCATGCTTCCTCTGAAATATTGAGAGGACTCGCCAGACATTTAAATTGTCTAAACGAAGACAATAAGTCGACACGGAAGAGGGCTCTGGAGCTGATAAAGAGGGAGACAGTAGATAAAGGACTTTCCAGCAGCGTGTTACAAGAGCTTTTCTCTGCCCTACTCAAGCCTCTCCTTAAATGCCTGTCAGACCCGATGGAAAGATGCAGAGAAACCGCACTAACAATGACAACAGAGTTTATTCGTTGTGTCCCTAAACCGGAGGAGTCGCTGCCTTATCTAATGCCCTGTCTGGCTCAGAGGCTCGGGGAGAAGGAGACCCTGGAGACGGCGGAAGAACTCCGGCTGTTGGCCGTGGAAATGTTGACTCTGACGGTGGAGGTGTGTGGGAAGCATTTAGCCCCATATCTCACAGACATGATCAACATACTGCAGAGAACCATCGTCGACCCGTTCCCAGATGTCAGGAGAGAAAGTTGCAAATGCACCATAAACGTGGCAAAGTCTCTGCCAGGTTGGTACAACTTTTGTTGTCGTCGAAAAAGTATGTAGTTGCCATGGTTCCGAAGCACGGACACCGACACGTGTGTTGAGTACGACAGAAACACTCGCTTTCTTACCGCAGTGAGGTTAGTGTATGTTGAATATTTGACAAACTTTAACTCCGGATCCAGCGGCCTTTTCTTACCACTGTCTTTGCCTCTAATGTCATTTTACAGACTGTTGGCAACCAGAGGACGCTCACATACGGGACCTTCAATCTAAATGGTCTTCCGCGTATGCGCACGCGGGTCCATATTGTTTTTTCAATAGATTCAACATCATGTGACTGTGACTCCAAATCTCAACTAATTATTATAACTTCTCAGAACAAATAAAACAAACCATTTTTATTTTAATGTAGTGCTTCTTCTGTTTTGCATGAATACTTTTAATGAAAATGCTACTGTTTTTTATTTCAAAGATTCAAAGGTGTTGTTGTCATATGCACAGTAGGTGTAGTTATGGCAATGAAAGATTACGTCCCAGGCTCCTTCATCAATGCAACATAGATATATAGACATACAACATACAATAATAAAAAATAGTGCAAAAAGAAACAGAATAGAAATAAAATAAAATAGTTCAAGAGAAGTAAACAATATATGTCTAACTTCATTTTATAAAGTCTTTCAGTACCTACAAAAAAAAAGACCTACAGTGCAGCATTGTATTACTACACTGGACGAGTAGATCACTACCCTTTTCATTGGATTCAAGTCAACATTTTATTTTATGTGAATATTTGACCAGTGGGACCTTTTGTTGAAAAGTAGTACCTTAATCCAAGTAATTTTGTATTAATTTAGCCTGCCTAATATTCTCTGGCAGGCAGTTTCCAAGCCGAAGGGCCCTTATTTAAATGCCCAGTTATCATTATTTATTTTTTGAAAACATAATTCCAGGATATATTCAGTCTCACACCTTAATGTTGATAATATATCAATGCATTACCCATCTCAACCGCAAACATTTAATGGACTGAAATTCATTTTATCTCCTTTTCTTCAGAGCACTTTCACATGCAGGCTGAGAGCCTCATGAAGCCTCTCATGCAGACGATTGCTCATCAACACTTACGGGTACGAGTCTCAGTCGTCGAAGCCACCGGGGCTGTCATTCAGCACAGCAACGGGAAAAACGTGGATGACGTGCTCTCTCACCTGGCTCAGAGACTGTTTGATGACTCGCCACAGGTTTGTTTAAAGCAACTATGCAATGCTAGAAGACCCACTGTGTGCCAATTAATGTACTGTTTATTAAGTTGCTCATATCTGATTTTTCTATTTTGTTCCAGGTGAGAAGAGCTGTGACTGTGGTCGTTGGTGATTGGCTACTTCAAATGAAAGACAGATACTCTTATTTCCACAAACTCGTCCCACTCTTGCTGACCTGTATTAGTGATGAGATCCCAGAAATAAGGTACAAATGGACATTGTTCTTATCCTTGATCATTATAAAAGGAAACACCATCTGTTTATATACTGCAATTTCTTCTGGTTTGTAGACAATTATTTGATAAATATCTTACAGAGGATTTAAAAGTGAAATGGAAACATCCAATAAATATCTACTATCTACAGTATATCTAAAATACAATGTGTTGCACTGGCAGATGGTCGGGACAATGATCTGTGTTTCCACTTCTCTCCTGCAGCTGTCTAGCTGCTGATTTATGGAAGCAGGTAGGCGCCCAGTGGGAGAAGGAGAATGAAGACGATATCAAGGACAAGTTAGACTTTCTTCTCACCCAACCTCCATTCTACCCACAAGGAGGTCAGTCACAGCATGGTTTGCTCTCTCTATTTAATCATTTATAAGCCTTATTATTTTATATCATATTATATTATTGTATATTATTAAAATATAATATTTAGTGTTTTCTAGCATCTATACATTTTCTGCTCCGTTTTTTTTATAGCATTTAAATGTCATGTTTGAAGCAGAGTGATTTTAAATGTAAATGTTCTAACCTGAGCAACATACACAAATCAATGTATGATGAACTTAGTTGATGGAAGGACTTCACTGTACCTAAGACAGACCCGATGTTTCCTGGGGGAAACTTGGCAGAAAATCCCTGGGATCCAGTTTAAGCCTAGGCTACCGACTCAGACTTTCTTACACTAAGATTATCTTATTAAAATAATTATAAAGGTGAAGTTTTAAGGAAAGGTTTCTGAAGTCTGGTAGTTTAATAGTGGAGAGGTTCCTGCTGGTGCATTGTCTTCGCCCCATGCATATTTAGATATAATTATAAACGTATATTTAAATAATTATAAAGGTATATTTAGAATATAATTGTTATCTCTACCTCTTTGCTGAATCAAATATCTCTCTTTGCTCTGTCTCTGGCTCTCCGTGGCTCCAGCATCAGTCATCACACGTGCATGCATTGATGAGTGTGTGCATGCATGTGCTTGCATGTAATGGGTTAATTTCCTATGCTTTGCATTCTGGTTGAAGACCCTATATGAACTGTATGTGTCCCACAGCTACACATGTGACAAGGTGGATGGATATGGGCTCTGCCTGGGCACAGGAAAGGGAAGGGAAGGGAAAGGAAAGGCTCTCTCTTTCTCTTTGTCTTTCTCTTACTTGCCATCATAAATCTGCCGGGCCTCCCAGTGTGAAGGGGTCACTGTCAAACAGTGAGAGACGACCTGAAAGGGGCTTGTTTAGTCTTGTCCTAGTGTGGTTCTCTGATTTATATCTGTCTTCCTTTTAGTCCCTTCTTCCTCTCATTAGTGTGCCTAAAGGAGAGAAGAACAAGGTGGGACCGAGAAAGAGGAGCGGGGAGCAAGGGTTGCTGGATTTCAAATGTAAAGGACTGTTTAAGAAAGTGTTTCACTTGCAATGACAAGTGCCTTGCGAGGAAACCATAACCGTAAAAAAAGGAAGAAGAAGATTGGTAGACAAAGTGAAAAGTTAGAAACCTGGAAATAAGTCATATGTATTGTTCTGTAAATGATGTTTCTAGAGCTTGTTTGCAGTCTATATTGTAGTTATCTATACGAACTCTCAGAAAGGTTTGATATAGTGACCAAGGAAGAACGATCTGGAACCAAAAAATGTGTTGCAAGGACTGTCAAAAACAAGGTGTTTGCTGACTTAATCAAAAAGGCATTCAGATACCTTTTATGATAATCAACATCTTACCCACCTCGGGGAGATTAATCAAGGTCATTCAGGAAAACAAAGACATTCACTAATTGAGAAGAATGTAGTTGGAGTGAGAGCAAATGAATTCTTCAAAAGTTGATCTGTAACAGTAGAAGAGTATACATGTGTTTGAAAACATGAACTTTTTCTCTTCCAGTGGAGCGTCCAGGGCTTGGCTGCAGAGAGCTGGTGGTGAGACACCTGGGTCGGCTGGTGCCGGCCATTAACAACGATATAACGGACTGGCTGGTGCCCACGCGGGTCAGGACCTCTCAGCTGCTCTCCCTGCTGCTGCTCCACGCCGAGGACCACAGCATCCAGCATCTGCAGCCC